GTGTGTGTGTGTGTGTGTGTGTGTGTGTGTGTGTGTGTGTGTGTGTATATGTGTGTGTGTGTGTGTGCGTGTGTGTGTGTGTGAAAAGATCACCAGAACAAAACCGTTTTTCCACCGATTGGAAGGAAGATGAGCATTAGGAGTTAATCAAGCTGTCCATCCACTCCCGCTCCTGTGTATGTTTTTGTATGGGGGGGGAGGAAGAAGGCGGGGGGGGGAGGGTGCATTTATTGTTGCCATGGTGAATGTGTTGGTTCTCTGGCTGGATTTATACAAGGAATGTGGTCAGGAAGTTTTTGGCTTGTGTCGCTGTGGATGGGCGGATACTCACTCCAAGTGTGTGCACTTTTTCAGTCTTTTTGTTGCCATGGCGGATCTATTTGTTCTTTGGCTGGATTTATGCAAGTTTGGTCATAACTGATTGGATAAACGTTGACCTTTTGACGTTGGCGAAGAACATGGTGCTTGAGTGACACTGGTCGACTGTCGGCGTTTTGTTCTTTGCTTGTTGTTCTTTGTTTGTTGTCATACCTTATGTTGTGTATGCCTACGTGTGCAAGGCTCCTCCATGCAATTTGTTTGTATCTTGGTTCCAGTATGTCTCTGGTGAGCTGATATGATCTCTATGGCTGCCCTCATATGCTTCAAAATATCGTGTACCAACACATGAAATGCAGTGGATGCCACCAGTACCTACCACAATTTTAGGCCTTAACGGGGTTGATGAATTGGTGCGCTGTGCGGTTCTGTATTCATTCGTGTCAGCGTGGGCCTAAGACCCCCTCAGGTACTGGTGGTTTAAGATCGGACCAATGTACTAGTGGTTTAAGATTGGATCAATGTACTCATGGTTTAAGATTGGACGAATGTTATCTCCCTCCTTTTGCCACTATCATCATCGCCCTCAAATCTTTCTAACTTTTTTTTTCTTTTCTTTTCTTTTTTTCTCAAATCACTTTCCCAACTCCACTATCCTGGCGGCGGTAAGAGAGCCGTCAAGATTGAGGACTTGGCCAGTGGCAAATTCTCCATTATCTGTGGGTCGATCGGCGAGTCTCGCGCCCATCTGCGCGATAGTGTTTGGTTGATTGGTGGCAAATGTGCATTGATTTTTGTTTGGGCCACTCCCATTCTCCCGGATCAAAGGGTAATCTGGCAAGCGGTATTGTGGGCTCATAGACAAACAGGACTTCCTGGTGGTCCCCCACCACACAATTCCATCTATTGGTGGGGAGCACTACCTACTGGAAACAGGGTCCAGCGTCCCTGAGAACAACTTTACAATACCGTGAGTGGGGGCTTTGGTCATTAATCGTCCGGCGTTCGAGGTACTATATCCCTCGGGGCTGCAAGTGATGCCTTTCGCATACTCTGCAAGTCTTGACCTAGCCCTATGCCTGGAATTGAGAAGCCGTTAACCCCATTCTGTATGACCATTTTGCTTTTTGAGCTGGTGCTTGCTTCAATCCAGGAGCCTGCAGCCCACCCCTAATCCATTTGCCGAGTCCACTTAGACCTTAAGGGGGGAATGCCTCTTCAGCCTATTATCAGACAGCCAGAAGTAAGTGTGTATTTGTTGGCACCTCCCATTCCAAATGCCTAGGTGCTGAACTGCACCGAGACCATCGCTCAGGCCGTTTGCGGTGTTGTTCTTAGGTCTTGTGACCCAGTAGCCGATGGTGCCTTCAGAGGGCAATGAGCCCATCCACACCTTATGTCATGCCGACTGCTACCAGGTGTGGGCAAGTCAGCGTGTCTAATCACCCGGTCATCTTGGTGGACTGAGGGACCCTTCGTAACTTCGTAAGAGCTGCCCGCCAAGTTAGGGGGGGAGAGTCCCTCAACTTGGTTGTATTGATCTCCATGTTTTTGGCATGTTTGAGCTTGAGCTGTAGCTGGTCAGTTATAGCCCAGTCACCTTTGTCCATGTCCCACAGGTTGACCACCGTAAAACCTCCATGTTTTGCCGAAGTGAGTTAGGGTGAGTTCGTTGTTAAAGAGAAGGGGTTGTCGTGCTCATCTCGGATAAAGGGGTTGCCGATAGAAAGGCTGTCTCCAGATATTATGCCACCTGTTGGGAGGTTGTTTCTGTTGCGGGCCTCGTGTCCTCCATACTCTGAGCATATGGGGCCACAGGGGATCCAAAAGAAGATCCTGTCTGGCCGCTTGTGCAGGGTTGTTGTCTTGTTGGCCAGCCACTGGAGGGGGTGCCGCTTGTTAATTGTTGGTGATTCCGGGCCCAGGTTGGCGATTTGCAGGCAAGCCAAGGGAGCCCACAGAATGTCGTTCCCAATCAGCAACCTAATGAGGACCTTAAAGATTAATGCATCGTTTTCCCTTTCTGGTCCAGTAATCCCAGCCCCCCTTTGAATTTGGGTTGGGTGAGGGTTTCCCAGCTGAGTCAGTGCAGACACCCCTAGTCCTTGGCAGAGTTCTTCCAGAGGTATGTTGTGAGTGCGTTTCTCAATCTGCGATATTGTTTGGGCTTGAGCAGCCACGCGGCGAGTTCATACGAGATGGCCGCCAAAATTGCATTGTTTATTGCTAGGGCCCGTCCCACCAGTGAGGTGTGTAGCCCCTTTCCATTTTGCCAACCTATCCATTGCCATGTTGAGCAGTGTATCCCCATGGTCTTGTGGAGGTCCCAATGCAGTCAATCTCCCTCACAGAATTTTGATGGCATCTTCTTTTCGAACCCACCCCACAGTCGGCTGGATGGGCGGGGGCTCCCCGTATGGGTGGAGCCACCAGCCTTCCGTCTTAGAGCCCCTGTTAAGACTTTCATGTCAGCTGCCAATGAAAATAGGTGTATAACTTGCATAAGGGCTTGGAGGGTATCAAGGTCCGCTCGTATGAGCACCGTGAGGTCATCTACGAAGAGTGATGCCATTGGGATAAGGTGGTTGGGGATATCGGGGATGGGCAATTTGTTGATCCCTGGGTGGGCTCTAATTAACGAAGGCAGGGTCTCCATTACTATTGCAAATAGGAGCGGTGCTATGGTGTCCCCTTGGCGTACCCAGTCTGTGAAGGTGAATCAGCGGTGAGAGGTGGTCATTAAGCATAATATTTGTGGTAGGAGATCTGTGGAGGAGGCTCACCCAGCAGCAGAATATCGGGCCGAAATTCATCCTGACCAGGCACATGTCTAAAAAATCTCAGTCAACATGATCGTACGCTTTCTCTAAATCGATGAATAGCATGGTCGGTAGGGCCTTTCTCTGTAGAGTGTATCTAATGATCTCATTGACCAACAAGATGTTGTCTTGGTTGTTTTTGTTGGAATAAATCATGTCTGGTCAAGGTGAATCAACGGATTTATTAGTGGCGGTAGGTAGTTGGTCAGTACCTTAGCCACCATCCTGTAGGGCATGGGGAGGACGGTTATTGGTCTGTAGTTTCTTATATCCTCGTTGTCTCATTTTTGTAGAGGAGTGTAGTGACCCGTTGCCCCATCATGTCCCCAAATGAGCCCTCAGTCTGTATTGTCGTGATGTAGTCCATGAGGTCACCCTGGAGGAGGTTCCGGAACTGCACCCAGAATTCCTTCGGGAAAGAGTCAGTCCCTAAGGTTTTCACATCTTCCATATTATGCAAGGCTTCCTACACGTCCTGGGCAGAGAGGGGTTTATCCAATCCTTTCTTTTGTGCATTTATGAGGTATGAGCTAACAAATTCTAGTAGTGTTTCCCTGGCATGGCGGACGTCTTGGGGGGACTTGTTAGGTGTCTGGGAGGTGAGAGGTCGCGGTAGTATTGAGCAGCGTAGTTTGCAATGGTTTAGGCACTAGTTGCAGCCTGAGTTGATTCATCAATCGGATGTCTAAGTCTATGAACCGTGTTGGCCCTGGACCCGACCCTTGCTTTTTAAGGGACTTCGTCATTGTGAACTCCATGTGTGCCTGCTTAATTTATGTTTGGACCGTTCAACCATGCGCCTGCTCTTCTAAGTAGGCTTGAAGGTGGTCTCTTGCTTCTTGGAGCTTTTCATGTGACAGGCGGTGCATCGGGTCCTCTATGAGCTGCTCATCCCATTCTTCAAGGTCCCTCATGAGCCTGTCGAGGATGGCTTTGCGGTCTCTTGCATGTTGGATGGATAACGTTTTGGTTCTTTCTCTCAACTATGCGATATCGTCACTGAGCCACCCCACCCTATCTCCCGCCAGTGGCTTTTGGGTTTGCCAAAATGACCAGAATGTATTGACCAGGTCTTTGAACCTTGTGAGGGGGAGGAGGGACGTGTTGAATTTGTAGAACCCGGGTCCCTTTTGGATACGGGCATGAAAGGACAGACCCAGTGTGATCATTATGTGGTCGAAGGATTCGTGTTGAATTTGTAGAACCCGGGTCCCTTTTGGATAC